CTGTAGTACTGTTAAACAAAGCTATCAAAGGAGAAAAGAAAGAAAAGGGACTCTACATCAACAGAGGAGGTAAATACACTACCATGATAATATTATTATATTAATATTGTACAGTGGAACCCCGTTAATATTGTCACCAATGAAAAATTTTGGCCATATTAACGGATGACTGTATCAACAAGGGTTTTTCTTTACAAGAAAATGTCTGGCCGTTTTGCCATGTAGCCAAAAAACAGTGGCTCTAATAATGAGGTGACCGTATTACCAAGGTGGCCATAAGGAGGGGTTCCACTGTAGTTGGAAGAGAATTCTACATTGGCTGACATGCTTTCAAATATTTCTGCTTCAGGTCACCAGTAGCTAGCTAACTAGTGATACCCCCCATGGGAAAACAAGGCTAGGCGTTTTAATCATTACAAGTACTGAATTTGGCAACAGCAGGTTTAAAGCAGTCATGTCTCGAGGCTATTGCTTTTTTAGGTCAATTCTGTGCTAATAAAAGTCATTAATAAGTGTCATTATTTTGTGACCAGATAAAATGCCAAAATGCTACTTTAGCATCATATATCAAACGAATTTCATCAGGGAGGACTGACTGTGATAATCTTTTGGTGATTTTAGCGGGCGTAAAGTAGCATCAAAACATGAAAAAATTGGCCCATTCATGTGAATCCCGGCCATCCGTAGCAACAGACAACAGGAGTCAGTTTCAATCTCTCATTATAATCTTAAATAACAAAACTGGACCATTTTTTTGGAATTCAATTGATATAAGATATGTTTTATCTTTTTAAAAGGAAGCATATAATTAACGATTTATTCCCCAGGCTTAAGTTTGAAAAGTTGATCCAGTTTTTTTTTTCCAAAGTTTGATCCATCTCCCACTTACTTGGATGGCATGCAGGTACTTGCAGTGTATAAGCAGTTTCCAGTAACCTTCAAGTCTTTTTAACGACCATCTTGAAGAGTTAAACATGCACTTACAGTTCAGCTAGAGAAGTAGGGTAACCAAGTCTGGACCATTATTTTTAAATCAACACCAAGAAAACACGATGCACTTCCTTTAAGAACCTTCATGGCTCACATGTTTATCATAATCACTTTTGATTTTGCAGACTGCTTCTTTCGCCTGAATGAGCTTCACTTTTCCCTGTCAGACTATCAACAGGCATTAGAGATGGACAGCAGTGATTGGTCTGTCAGGTGCCGACTTTCCATTGTGTATAACGAGTTTGGAATACTGGAGTATTATGATAGGCACTACCTTGAAGCTATTGATCACCTTACAACATCCATCCAGTACAATCCTCGGATAGGTGCCTATTACTTGTCACGTGCCAGGGCCAGATACATGATAGAGGTAACGATAATGAAGGATTTTTGATTGAACACATTTTTCGTTTTATTTCTGAGACCTTTATTCGCCACATGAAGGGATGAGGAGGCCTGACTAACCGCAAGGAGTGAAGCGCTACCAAAGAGTGGATTCTTCGGTCCCATTTATTGATGTATCGTCGCAATCTAACCAAAAACGTCGGTTTTCCGCCTTCTTCGAAACGTTTTCAGTTACATCAATATTTTGACTATTGGGTCGTATCCTTAAAACGGTATTTTTTTCCCGAAATTCTGTCTAAAACGTCTCCTACTGCCAGACCTGCTCTGGAGTGTAATGACTACATTGAGAAACACGAACGGCATTTCAATCCTTCCGAAGCTCTTCTAAGCATATGTAAACTGTTCACACTGCAAGCTTCTCTTATTATAAAAACTTGTAGACAATTTTGTCGGTTACAAATTGGCTTCTACACCAAGAACTTTGCTAAGGGTAGGTGGGTGGGGACTCGTCTTGATGGAGTATTCTACCTCCTTCTGGAAGCCACATCGTTATTATTCTATCAGAAGTTAAATTTTTAACAGTTTCGGTCTGAAGATTTGTACTATATGCTACCACTGTGGGTTAAGAAATCGGGAACTATTAATTTGCCGGTCAGACATAAGGTAGTGTTTTAAAAAGAGGGCTGCCTTTTACAGTGAATTTAAACCACAGAGTATTTATCAACTTTTTTCTCCTTCAGGACATGGACGGTGCTCGGCACGACGTTCTCGTGTCGTTGTATTTAGACCCCGAGAACAAGGAAATCGTGTCCATTTTTTCGAGGCTGTTCCCGGGCCGAGCCATTACTGACGTCATGAAGAGTCACATGGGAATGGCGGCTGCACGTCAGGCCGAGGCTTCCATTCGAGAAACAAGTAGTTATCTGCAACTTTCCCAGCATGCCACAGGTACTGTCATTTGACGTTAGGTATTCAATTTAAAACAAGGGTCTTCTTTTCTCCATCAGCTCTACTCTCAAGGCAATTTTTATGACCAAGAGTAAAAAAAATGTAAAGAAAGATATTGTTTATCCTGGATAAAGTGTATAAAGGGTTTCGTTTATCGTTTGTCTCAGGATTGTCACATAGATATTGATTGCGACGTGTACACCGCGTTCTGCAGGTCTTCATCAGGCGATAGTGTTGATTTACTGAGTAGAACTATTTATACCAGTTAGAACAGTTTCCTCCTCTAATAATGCCAACATTGCTGGATCAAAACCCACCAACCATGAGCGAGGTTCGTAATACACCAATCACTAACAACCACGGTGGTATAAATAGTTCTACTCAGTAAATCAACACTATCGCCTGATGAGGACCTGCAGTACGCGGTCAATACGTCGCGATTAATATCTATGTGACAATCCAGTTTGAGACAAACGATCAAAGAAACCCTTATAAGACTAAAAGAAGTCCCAAAACCAGTCTAGCCTCCCACGCAGGCGTTTTTAGGGGAGCTCGTATTTCGTTGTAGGGAGCGACGAAATACAAGCTCCCCTAAAATCGCCTGCGTGGGAGGCTACTGCCAGTTGTATTGGTTTTGTTTTACTTAAGTGGCTGATAAAAACAGTGTGAAATTGTTTCTCCTTGCACAGACTGTGGCAAAGTAGCAAGGTGATTGTGAACTGACAAAAAACCTCTTTGAATGGCATTTTATAGCGAGCATATAGAAGTAAATGAACATTAGAAATAGTAGAACGTTGCAAAATCTTTGGAACTTTCAATCAGTAGAAGGCAAGTTAAGTTGTTATTTCGTGGCTTTGTTTAGGTGCGAAGAATTCTGAAGCAGCAGCCAAGTTTAGTGGTAAATCAGTTCTTCCACCGATTAGAGGTTCCGTGTTTCCTGAAGTGCGCGCATGTATGGAGGAACAAGATTTTCACATCAGCATCATTAAAGGAAAGAAAAAGGTTAGCTGAATTTTTAGAATTGTATTGAGACATTTTTTGCCATACGTTAGGCGGTTAGCTATGATGAAGTTTTCTTTTCTTTTCTTTTTATATTGACATTAGTAATGGCAAATGTCAATAAGACTGTATGGAGAACAATTAAGAGAGTAGCCGGGCGCGCGAGGCCCACTTAAAATTACTCGCCCGATTACCCTGAATTACCCGACTCGAAGTCCTATTTCCACGAATAATATAAATTGTGTCAATAACAAAATGCGAGAATTTCAGTATTGGAATATTTATCAACGTAAATGCACAAAGTTGTTATTTCATTATCTTACAGTTTCCAAAGCAATAATATCGCATACATTTTTCGGCGAGATCGGAACACGGAGGTCCGACTGAAGAAGAAGCAAGAAACAAGAAGCTGGTACCGCTTCAAGAAAATTGTTTTAATTACACTTGTTGTTCTATTGTAGGCCACCAAAATAGTACAAAGAGCTTTGAGCGCTCGTCAAGATCTGAGTTTCAAGGGTCCAAGGGTCCAGTCCAAGTTCAACAGTTCATCGGTACACGCGGAAAAAAGTGTAGTAAAGTTTGATGGCTTGACTGAGAAAAGAGCTAAGGATCAAAAGGCCTTGGTTCAGCTCGCCTAATAACCGACCAAGACACTGTGAAAGCTTCTTTAGATCGAGTACGTTGCTTCTCATTTAGGTATATCTACGTGTAACATCCTAAAAAGACTTTTCTTTGGTACTAGAAGTTTCTCTACTTCTAAGCGGTTACATCCTTATTTCATTGCCAAAATTCGGAAAACTACAACTTACAGAGGTGAAACACGTAACTTAGGTATTAACGCTCTTTATGAACATTCCTCGTTGGAGAGCTGCGGAATTAGAAAAAAATAAAGGTTCTAGTGAAAAATGTGTAAAAATGTAAAAATATGCGAAGAACGAAATAGTATATTGTATTTTTTATTATTATTTGACTTAAAAGTTAAATAAAGACATAATTTGTGTATTTTATTTCTGGTTGCTGAATCTCACCTTTTTTTGTTCACATGACTCTGGATTTTCGTTTCTCAACTTTATGCGGTCACGCCCTCATTATCAGTATGCTTTACTCGTGTTATTGAAACCTTCTTCGTTATAGACGGTATGATTCCGGTTATAGTTATAGCAGAGAAAAAAACTCTCAACAGGGTCGTATTGTTCCAAGAAAGAACAACGTTATAATGTTCGAAATGTATTCGACCGTAGCCTACCACGCACGCGTTTTTAGGGTAGTCGTATTTCCTTTTAACATAGTTATTACAGCAAGGAGCCCAAAAGTGTGACCGCTTTTGATTTATTCACATTCTTTCGTGCAGATTTAATCCAATCAGAAGCCAGGTAGAAACTTTCCTCGACATCTGATTGGTTAATGTCTGCATGAAAAGAATTTGAATTAATTAAAGGAGGTCACACTTTTGGGCTCCTTGCTGTGAAGTGGAATGGTTATGAAATCCGTTACAGTCAAACCAGGTCAAGCGTACCCCCCAAGAATACATTAATGAATTTATTATTCAAAAGTTGAATCCGTTGCTAGTTGTAGATTTCAGATTGATCTCTGCATTCTTGCATGTGTAATGAGCCGTGAATTCACACGCGAGGCAGTTATGAAATTTCTACCAGCTCCATTTTCCTGAAATTGATGTAAATGTCTTCTAAGAAGCTTAATGCATTCAAAGATTTCCAATCTGACCAAATACAGAGAAGTTCTCGTAAAATATTCACTGCTCATTACGCCTGCAGATCGATGCAGAAATGCCGCTTTGAATTTGACACCAGTTACGGGAACGACAAACGGATACATTTTTTCAAATAATCAATTCATTAATAGAATCTTGGGGGGTACGCTTGACTTGGTTTGACTGTAAGCCCTGTGTAAACTAGTCTGCTACACAGCCGTTTTAAGAGTCGTCACACAACGCTCCTCCCCACTAACTTTGTGGGGAGGAGCGTTGCGTGACGACACTAAAAACGGCTGTGTAGCAGACTATGTGTAAACGGACCCAACATTGTTGGATGTTACATGTTGCGTCCGTTTCAACACATCCTGTTGCATGTTGTCAGTGTTGTTGGGAGTTGTTGCGCAAAGTTTGAAACTAATCAAACTTTTAGCTACGCGCAAACGGACGCAACAACTCCCAAAAATGTTGGGAGTTGTTGCGTCCGTTTGCACATAGCTTTAATAGCTTGAAACGTAGAGATTTTAAGCCTTGCTTCGTGATAAAATGCTATTATTCTTTATTTTCAATGGGTTTTCGAATAATTTACAAATTTATTTTAAAATTTCTACTTAGAAAAAAATATAAATACTTCGTAGTTTTACGAACATGAGTTCAAGCCAAGGATGTTTCGTCTAAACACCTTTTTTTCTGCACCAGCGAGCAAGGATTGATAAACACTATAAACTTGTGTCTCGCGAGATTCAAAATTAAAGTTGGAGTTTAGCCAAATACAATAAAAACCCGCGAGTAAGAACCTGGTTTTAAAATTTGAAACAGGTTTTTATTTTCTCAAATCTCGTAGCCTGTTTCAGGCGTTCAGATAGCGGGGAGCGGTGCGAAGTGAAAAAAGAGATGAAAAGTAGAGGGGGAACTAAGGAGAGCAGTGTCCCCCTCCCTCGTTTTTATTTTCTCGCCCCCCTTTTTACGTCGCACCGCTCCCCACTATCTGAACGCCTGGAACAGGCTACAAATCTCGATCTTGGGCAATTAAGATAAGGCATTACAATACATGTATGTTATGTTCTGAAGGAGGACGAGTTGGTGCTTCAATTCTTACTGGCGGGTTTTTACTGTACTCTCTTCAAGTGAGAGCGCGCATATCCAGTTGACAATTTCTACTTTAATATACTGTATATGTCAAATCATTTCTAACTATAAAACTATTAAAAAACTACAAGCTTAACTTAAAAATGTGATATCCGATGATAATAATTTGAACAATGATGATGACTACAACTATGATGAAAAAAAGGAAAGAAATGGGTACGTAAAGGTGTCTTTGGTAAAATCTACATTGTACAATCAATGATTAAAAAACAATAAATAAACAATTTGAGTCCTCCTCTAAAGGAGACCTCCGTAGATTTCCAAAGGAAAGTGTTTTATGTATAATAGTTGTTAAACAAGCAACGTTCTGGTCTCTTTTTTTATTATTATAAACATGATAAACAAAAATCAGATTTCATAAAATTCGAATTCCCCATCTTTACGTCTGTATTTCCCAGCGGCCCCTGCAGGTGACACCACAGCATCCGCTTTCTTCAACGAACGCAGGCGACGAGTTTTCGGCTTAATGTACTTTCTAGATAGTAGATTTTCTAGACTCGTCACAGACTGAAACCTGTCTTGTTCAATACTTGTGGCGGAAGTAGCCGGAACACTTGTGATGTCTATTCTTCGCTCTGATTCTGGTGTTCCGGGTGTGATGGTGATCTCTGGGGTTGTCACAGGCGAAGCGACCTGCGAACCCTCGAGAGAATGGATACTAGGCACTGAGGAGTGCACTGACGGAGTCGACCTTGTGCTTGATCTACTAAAACGGCGAGCTTCGTTGACATATCCTACGGCTCCAACCTGTGCGATGCCTGTGCTCATACTAATCAAGCAAGAGTGGATTTTGTCCTTGTTGCGATTTTTTCCGTATCCGTAATAAGTTCCATGCGAATCATTGACACTCTTAACGAATAAAACAGCAACTACAGTCAGCATGATTGCAGAGCAGGCCATGGGTATACCAATTAGGACCCCTAGCTCTGTAGCTCTGGAGTAAGGTAAACTGTCTTTGCTACCTGTACAAATCAATACAGAAACAAGGGTTTTTTAAGGTTTTTAAGAAACCCAGAAATACAAAAATACAAAAATGGCAGACAGTTGGTCAATCGACACCTTTCAAGATTTGCAGAATAGTGTAAACGCGGGAGCAGCTTAAAGAAGTACGTAATGGCGATCTAGCGGAATAAGTTGCTAAACTATCGAACAAGCTCTCGGAAGACGCTATAAAAGGGAACAAGTAAAGGGTGATTTTGGTACGACAGCAAATCAAGATAGATTAGTTCAGTTTTAGTTCAGGGTTTTTCAATCCATCTCCACCATAATGCGGAACTGAAGTGTTTGCGCGCTAGCCATCGTTACCAAAGAACAGTTACAAGTCTCCCCTGAGGACAACAAATTCGGTGCCCAGACGTCTTTCTTGTGAATTTGATGTATTGACCCTTATAAACCACCTAAGTAACCAACTCTCGTAACATTTAAAGGTCCGTGGCGCGAGCCAAAAATACTCCACACATAACCTGGGCCCGGTTAAAAAAGGCAACTTGAGATTAAGTTGGAATTTGTTGCAAATATTTCCTGCTTTCCGAGGGTCTCTCTTTGCGTTTTCTATATTCATTTATTCATCGGCCGAGTAGTAATCTGTGATCCTATGCAAAAAAGCGTCCGGAGCAAAGAGAATGGTTACAGAAAATGCGCAGTAAATCCCAAGTAGCTTTGTGCACCCAGGCGCTGAGGCGTGTCACTGAAAACTGTACAAAGGCCGATTCACGGCCTATGATAACTTGATCAAAGAAAGTGCCTCAGCCTTTTTTGAATCTATCTACATCATCACTGTTTTCTCAAATTGGCATTTTTGTCATCTTTCTTCCGTTTACAAGCTTATCAAGCTTTTCGTGAGATCAAAGATGTCCTTAACTTATTAAAAGCCATAGACAGCTTTTATAAAAATTTCCCATTAGTTACCTTTCTTGCATATGTAAGGCAGTTTCTGCGTACATGACGCGTCCTCCCACCATCCCTTCTGAATCATTTGCACGCATGCGCCTGAACGGTCTGGTTCACCTGGGGCCCAGTTCTCGTACTTAAGTGGTTTTTTATCAACCCAATGGAGACTGGAATCCGATGACAGTCTTTCCATCCCAAGCCAAATCCTAATTTTGCCAGGTTGGCCGATAGAAGTCTGAATTAAACTAAAAATTATATCATTTTCTTCTTTACTTTGAATCGATATCAGATGAGCTGAATGGATAACGCAAAATCTCTCGGCGTGATTAAACACTTTAGTTTCTTTTACAACTTTGTAGCAAAGATCACCATGATGAATCCAGTCTGGATCACAGATTCCTACAAAAAAATGAAATAAATAAGATCATTTCGTTAAAGAAAATTTCCAAGAAAGAACGCCCACCAAATCTTTCCTGCCGGCAGAGGCCTCTTTTCCCTGGTATTCAGATTTTTTTTCTGCGGAAGGCCTCTGCTAACAGGGAACACAAAATCTAGACACAAATACCATTTTCCGAAAATCAATCTATTAAAAAAGAGGTTATTGCCCATACAACTTAGGTGCCAATAACTTAAGATAGATCCAGTCAATTACTTAAGATAGACCCCAGGCATTCATTATTCCGCGCGACTTACTCGTTTCCGGGTCTCGGAGACCCTCGGAAACGTCAAAGAAATGCATGAACGTGAAGGCCTGGGAAACGCCATACAGGGACTAGGCAACAGATAAATAAGGCTTCTATATTTCCACTGCGGTGTGAGTTGCCCCATTACTGCTAATGTAACCTTTTTCGAAGCGTCTGCCCACTCGTTATGCATCCTCGGAGACTA